GGGGGGATGGTCACGCCGCAATCCCTTCTCCTCCATTCTCCTCTCAGGATCTTGGGCACGCACGCACACGCGCCTGGTGTGAGTTTTAAGCCACCGGGTCCAGGACGCAAACCGCGGTTGACTACGTGGGAGTCCAGCGACATAGCCATTACACTAACTGCTGGTTCCCAAGCTGCAGTAGTCTTTGAAACCTGAAAGTCAGAGAGACTTGAGGATCAGAGGATTACTATGATTACTTATTGTTTGCAAATAATTTTTAAGAATTATTTATTATTATTATTATTATTATTATTATTTAATTTGCTATAGGGCACCTGTGCTCACCAGAGAGAGACATAGAGAGAGGGAAAGTGAGAAAGCAAACCACCAGGGCTAGGACTGGAACTGCAGTCAGCCATGTGGGAATCCAGCGCCTTAACCCCCATGCCACCTGGTGGCCCCACCATATTTACTTTCAAACCCATGATTTTCCCAGAACAGCATTTCATGGTTTATTCCTTGCTGTGCTTCTGCGAGAAACTGGTAGTGATCTACATATTCTAATTTTCAGTGCTTTCTAACCTGGGTTTCCGTAACAGTTCTCTGAAAAGCACAGAGGGACCTGTGGTTAAGGGAAAAGTACTGCCTCCCTGGCTCTGTGACAAATGAGGATTTTAATCTGATTCATAACCTTTTACAAACAGCTCATCTTGACCAGTCTACTGTATTTGGTGACCTATTCAATTCATTAATGTTTCACATTGGGCCTAAGTGCCTACCATGGGGAAATGACAACAAGTGAGTATCAGTGACCTCATTAACTTGGCTAACACTGCTAAACGAACGCTTGGCTCACTCTGTGGGAGCCTGTCTACCTGAGGACAATAGCACAATCTTACTATAGCCTGCTACAGAGATTTATATGCTCTGCTTCTTTGCTTGCTTGCTTATACCCCAATCCTTTTTATTTCATAAATACTATTTTGTGTATGTGTGCCCAAATGACACCTCCTTGTAAATGAGACTCATCTTTGACTTAATGTGTTTATCATCACAAATCTGTAATGCCTTAGGAAGAACACTTCAGGGTTTGACTTTAGGAAGCAGAAACTTTTCTAGTTCTTTTATGAAGAAAATAGATTTAAAATAAAGAATTGGGTCCTTATAAAATTTGGAGTAGTGAGCTTAAGGTCGGGTTTACAAGTGTGACTGCCAGAACAGAACTGTTGAGCTGGCCTGAAATTTCAGCTGCTAGTTGATCAGAAAGCTGCCATGGTATGTAGAATTCAAGAGCTCACCATAAAAGTCTCACATAGTGATTGGACACTGGGACTCTGCTGCAGAAAAAGCTAGTATCTCCTTTTTCAATTATACTTGTCAATAGCAACAGAGACAGAGCAGCAGGATGATTGTCTTCACTCTCTTACCTTTTAGATCTCACATGATTGCACCTAATTGATGGGTCCTGATTCTAGAACTTTTGCTGCAAGTGAGTATAGGTAAATATGACTTTTAGCTTTTTAGCCTCTGCAGTACTAGATGGTAAACTAGAAGGAAGTTGCAATGAATGTTGATTGCAAATTCACCGTTTCCATTTCAGAAACCTAAAAAAGCAAAAACATGAAACAAGATAAGAAATCCATTAGTTCTCTTTCTCTTTCTGATGCCCTATGATTTTCCTTTAGATGAATGATTTTTTTTTTTTTTTGCCAGCAAGTATGTGCATTTACTTGCTAAAGAGACAGAAAGAGAAAGGGAGAGCAAGAAAGCATTCCTTGGGACCAGCAGTTAGCAAAATGGCTATGTCACTGAACTCCCATGTAGCCAACCGTGGTTCGACTCCCAGACCCAGTAGCTTAAAGGTTGGGTTTACAGGTGTGACTGCCAGAACAGAACTGTTGAGCTGGCCTGAAATTTCAGCTGCTACACCGGGCGCATGTGCGTGCGTGCGTGCGTGCCCAAGACCCTGAGAGGAGAATGGAGGAGAATGGATTGCAGTGTGGCCATCCCCCTGGGGAGTGATTTTTCGTTTTCTGTCTCTCTCTGTCTTTCTGGCGCGGGCACACACTCCCTATAGCAAAAACCTCTCTTAAAAAAAAGAAAGAAAGAAAGCACTCCTCGGTGTGTGGTCATGCTGCAATACTTTCTCCTCTATTTCTTTTCCCTTTTGGCATCTTGGGTCTGCATGTACACATTTTTCAAGCTCCAGGGGCCAGAACTCTTATCACATGGTTGACCATGTGAGATCCAGCTCTGTTACCAACAGATCACTAGGCTGGCCCTACACAATTTAATTTTTTTTTTTTTTGGAGAAGTTTTTGCTATAGGGCACGTGTGCTTGCCAGAAAGACAGAGAGACAGAAAGAGAGAAATCACCCCCCAGAGGGGATGGCCATGCCGCAATCCCTTTTCCTCTATTCTCCTCTCAGGATCTTGGGCACGCACACACACGTGCCCGGCGTGAGTTTAAGCTGCTGGGTCTGGAACTCAAGCTGTCGGGTCTGGAACTCAAACCACGGTCGGCTACATGGGAGTCCAGCAACATAGCCATTACACTAACTGCTGGTCCCCACGATTGAATTTTTTTTCACTAAAGTAGTAAAAATAAATGATGGTTCTCTGATATTTTTCTACCATTTGTCCAAAATAGTTTGACACGTCCACAGTCCTTTCTCAGGTATTGGTTGAAGATGTAACAATTAGGATCTCAAGAATTCTCCATCTCCTTCCTTCTTTTTTTTTTTTTTTTTTTTTTTTTGGGTTTTTTGGAGAGGGGGTGTGGTTTTCCCGAAAGAACA